TTAGCATAACGATATAAACTCAAATAATAAACATTCGATGTTTTTTGGGAGGTTTTTTTAGTAAATAAAAGATAACATTAATAATATAATATTCTTGTTTAGTTGGTTACTACATAATATAGTTCATTACTGATTCGAAAGCAAATTACGTTTTTATTACAGACCTCAGGCTGTAATAAAAATCTTCATTACACTATAAAAAGTTATTCGGGTGGCCACTTGTTGAATTCCTAAATATTGAAACCATTTATTTTTTTTACCATAAAAGGAAATCTACAATAAAAAAATAGCAATAAACTTTACAAAGATGTGAAGCCACAGTTTTGAATTTTCTTTATGTATGTCAATGAGTAATTAACCTTTACTTAATTATTATAAGACGGATGAAGTCGAACTTAGCTGGGGTTTATTTCCTCTTAAGTTTACTTTTTCGACACTGATAATTAGGATGTGTTTATACTTACTTCTGATATATTCTTAAAGAAGCCTTTTCAAAAGGTTTTTTTATAAACAAAGCATGTTTTCACCATATTATTAGAGATAATAAATCTTAAATAACATTTACAACCTTTACAATTATATTTCTCGTAAAATATATACCAAAAATTGACATATGTCAGAAAGTGACAGAACTGGCGCTCCTAAATTTGGCAACGCTTATTGAATAAGCCAATTACAGGAGAGGGATTTCCTTCCTCGGGAGGAGTAGATATTGATTACAAAATTTAGTGCGGGAAAGAGGGGTTGACTCTCTCTAGTAGTAATTGTTCGGATCTATAGATCAACTGCTGGTGGTAATCAAATTGTTGGAGGTGAATTGCTGGCGATAATTTTCCAGATTTCATTAGGCACAGCTTACTATTATTGTTGCAGATACCATTTTTGACATTTACATGGGTAGGAGCAAAAAAATCTTTTAATTAATGATTTCAATTTCAAAGGTAAAGTATTGTACAATTCTATATCATTAAAAATAATAACTTATTTACCACATTTTTGTCATTTCTATTCCGACATTAAAGTTGTTGCAAAAAACAATTGTAAGACGATAAAACAGGTCTAGACCAATTTATTTTATTATCTCAACTAGTAAATAGATACAAATTCAAAATTTTTCATTAGTTAGACTTACGATAAAGAAAATAATCATCTTTAAACATTGCCTATTTTGTATCGAAATAAATAAATATTAAAAATATTATCGCAGGCCTGGTGGGAAATGATACAAAATATTAAACCAAACTGAATGAAATTGTGTGTACTCCATAAACTAAATGTAAACAAGTATACGAGTACAAAGAATAATAATCTACGTATTTTAGTCCAAGATCCAATCAGATATTATTTTAATCTAACCTAATTTGTTTGCATATTAGATTAGTGGTTATCGGTAATAGTTTAACACCCAGAGTCGGCTTCATGATTTTAAAAAACCGGGTATAAATTAGTCCTAGATTAAAGATAGGAACACTAACTACGTCTAACTTATAGACGACAAGCAATGTATACAAAGAGTCTACTCTATAATCCTGCCAAAAGTTTTCTCCTGGATTGATCGCAGCTAGGAAGTGAGCAGCAGTGTGGCCAGATTGGGCAATTTATCCCTTTAACCCTAAAATGAATGCTTCTGCACAGATCCGGGAATGAAGTAGGATTAATGATAGGACATTGTCATCTAGGTAACCACAAAAGAAGAATAGGTCTTTAACACACATCGGACTATCGAGTCTGCAGCGTTGAAGATGAATCTGCAGAGCACATTCTGTGTACCTGCTCTACATTGGAAAAACTAGGTTCCAGATATATTCGGGTTCACCTGACTGTAGCCTACAGGCTTTTAACAAGTGTCACCCAATTCAACCATGGCCACAGGATAAAGAACAATACCATGGCCTTTATCAAAAGGTGTGGCTTGTATGGTGAACTATAAGTAAGACATGTCCATAATAAATCCATCTGACTCGCAGTTGGAGGCGAAAAGATCATCTCACTCATTTTCAACCTAACCTAACTTCGCATCTAAAATATATAGTTAAATGTAATCAGATAGAAGCAGCAATTTTTGAACTTTCCCCCACTCGCAATAATTCGTCCCTTTTATTCCTCCATTCCGTTTTATAATATTTTCATTGCCTGTATCAATAAAATTAGGATGGTAATATTTATTGTTACTACCCCTAATGTTTAACCAGTTATATAGTCAAATTGTAGCCTAGATTATACTTTGAACAGTTGTAATTTTTCCTATAGCCTAATTATTACTTACCTGCCGAACGGATTTTGGATTATAGACTGATTATAAATTTCTCTAGTTCCGAGATTTTTTAAGGCAATTTCAAATGATATAAGTAACGTCACACCACAACCTCGAAAAGATTTAATTAATATTATATACAATAAAATGTGTCAAATTTCCATAGATATCCCGAATTTAAAAAGAATCTGAACGAAATTTATGCAGTTTTTCCGGTATTTTCATCAAATACCAACGGGAATTAAAATAAACTCAAGACTGAACCTTCAGCTTCACTACAAATTTGTTTGTATCTTCAACGGTTGCCTTATTTATTTTCTATCTGTATTTAATATACTCGTAAATGTTTACTTCTATACAGGGTGTCCCGAAATTAGACGGTCATATTTTGACAGCGTAATCTACATCCTAAAATAGGAATAAAAGTTCATATAAACATAGGTCCAAAAACGGTTCGTTTTCAAGATGCAGGGTGTTACAAGTGAAGTCCTCATGGCACATTTTTGTAAATATTTTCTAAAATTTCTTTAGTCACCGGTTTTCCAAAGTAAAAAAAGTAAAATTTCTGATTTCACAGGCCTATTAATTATTGTGTACACTTTCGAATAACTTATCATGAAATTTTCAAATGCTTTTTTCTTGAAAATGGTGCGTCCTAGCGAGATGAAACAAATGTAGCTTTATTATAAAGAAAACATTTCAAATTTTATATTCAAAAATGTTAAAAACTGTCAACAAAAAAACTTAGGACAATTTTACCCTAAGCCCCCCCTAATTTACCCACCTATAAAGATGATCAAAAACTGAGGTTTAGTCCATTAAATAGAGCGTAAAAAGTTAAGCATTTGTACCAAATTTCACTTAGCTATCTTTAAACGTTTAGAAAATATTTACAAAAGAGTGTCATCAGGACTTCACTTTTAACACCCTGTATCTCGGAAAAGAAACGTTTTCAGACCTATGTTTATATAAACGTTTACTCCTATTTTAGGATGTAGATTATGCTGTTAAAATATGACCGTCTAATTTCGGGACACCCTGTATATCCACCTTCGGTTTTTGGGATTTATTTTTTCACCACCTTGGGTTCGAAATTTCCAAAAAATCCTTTCCCAAGAATGGGTCAATATTGTAAAAAATCTGATGTGTCCAACACATGACTTTCCTATCTAGTTATTACAGGCTTTTTCCGGTTATTTTGTACAACCTATTGCAGCACTTCTATAAATGTTTAGAGGATAAACTAAATATATACATTTTCCATATACATCTACCTCGAAACATTTTTCTATATATATTCATTAAAAACGAAAATAATGAAAAATTTAAATTTAGCACTTTTCCTCCAATTTTTCCATTACGGTCAATTTTAGAAAAATCATGTATAAACAAAAATTATAGAGATCGATATCGCAAACAACTTTTACTTCAACAATTTTCATAAAAATCAGAATTTTACACATTTTGTCAAATTTCTCGAATACGGACCATTTCAGGAAATTTTGACACTAATGTAAAAATTATAGATAATAATATTAGAAGTAACTTTTATTTGAACAATTTTTTTCTCCAAATATAAATAACAGATATATTCCATAAAATATGAAAACGGCCTACCATAAAGTACCCCCCCCCCCCCCAGATGTTCCGACTTTGTCCAAAATCTAATTATTTCACGTCAGGCCAAAATAAAACTTAAGTTTAAAATTTAAGGTTTTTTTTCTGTATCCGTTTTTGAGTTTTCTTCAAATTTCGAAATTTACACATTTTCTCAAATATCTCGAATACGGTCCATTTTAGAGAAATTATGTATTGAATAAAAATTATAGAGAATTATCATTATATAACAAACAACTTTTGTTTAAACAATTTTTATAAATTTTTTTTTTTACATTTTGTCAAATTTCTCGAATACTGACCATTTTAGGAAAATTTTAGATAATAATATAAGAAGTAACTTTTATTTGAAGAATTTTCTTCCCCAAACGTAAATAACAGATATATTCCATAAAATATAAAAATGACCACTTATAAAGTACCCCCCAGATATTCCGACTCTGCCCAAAATCTAATCAGCTCATTGGACGCTGGAAAAAAGCTTAAGTTTAAAATTTGGTGTTTTTCTGCGTATCGGTTCATGAGTTATGCGACACACGCACACGCACACGCACACGCACACGCACACGCACACGCACACGCACACGCACACGCACACGCACACACACACACACACACACACACACACACACACACACACACGCACGCACACACACACGCACACACACACAGACATCATCGCGAAAATAGTCAAAACGGATTCAGGGGACCTCAAAACGTAAAAATCCGTCGAAAACTCGAGGTCGAAAAAAATCATGATTTCTATACTTTCCTTATATCTGAACACATGTACAGATAGGAAAGTAAAAATAAGCTTCCAAAATTCACCTTCCAATGTAAAATTTGAGGTTTTATTTAATGTAATGAATAACATTAACTGTTTGATTTGGTATTATCAAAAATAGGACCTGGAATAGAACAAACTGATAATAAAATTACAAACAATCTCTTAAACAAATAAACGAAGTCGTTTAATGTGCAGCAATTCAAACAAAATAAACACATTTACCCCACCCACCCTAAACGGTCACGTGCTAAGTACGTGCCTCCAGTCATTTACATGCTATGGGGTCAAACAGGCACTGATGGCTTCATCCAGAAATACCAGAAACGTCAAAACGGGATGTATCGCTAACTTGATTGCACTTGATCCATCCCTATGGCGGAATCGATGCTGGGCGTCTGGAGCTACGACGCAAGCGTCGGCGTCGTTAGTTTTCAAGGGATTGGATCGATAGAGGATGTATTTCCATATACACCCCTTGAAACTCCAGGGTGTCTTCAACCTGTGCGTTGTTTGTTGTTTAGAAGTTGAAAGAACCGAAAGTTAGGTAAGTGTTTATGGAATTTACGTTGATTCAAGTGTAATCTTTTGCTAAACAAACATTTGAAAATCTTTTCATTTAACTGTACTGTACGAACATTGAATTAATTACAAAGTAAATCGCAAAAACGATTGTATTTAAATGAAATCCCAAAATACTGTTTGTTTATAAGCAGTCATTTTTGTTTGTTTTGAGATTTAGATGTTTGAAGAGTATTAAATCTGTTTTTAAGTTTTATGATTGATTAGCTTCGTTTATTTGAAATAGTGGATTAGGAACTTTGGCATAATATATATATTAGTATTAATAATATGGCTCTAAAATTTAGTACATACATAGTGTGAATAGTCTACAGGGTACCTGTTTTGTTTGAAATTGTTATTATAAGCTAATTCTTGAAAAATCGGTTTTCGGGAATGATACATAACGAGATAATGATAAATAACATGATAAATAAATTTGGAATTTTGGAATTTCTATTTTCTTCTTAGATAATTACTTTTGTTTATATTTGGTAATCATTCATTTCATATCCAGTATGAAGGTCCGCAGTTTATGAATTTAATATACAACGATGGTAAAAAAAATGATAAAACAGATACAGAGTCAGTCAAAAAGAATAATACACAAAATAATTGCATATTCTTGAGAATAAATTATTAATATTTAACCAAACATGTATTTAGCTTTGACGATAATTTTTTTTAAACACGAGATTCTTTTATATAAAATTTTTAGAATCCAAAACATATAAATTGTCTCATGAAAAAAATCAGTATTTGTATTTTAGCAAAGAAGCGAATCTCAATGAGTTTTTGTATTTACCAAAATTTCAATAACATTGAAATGTTCTACTTATTGTACACTGGGAAACGTATGAAAAGCAATATATTTGGGTCGTTTGGTTCATAAGTATTAAACACTCACTAAAGTTACAATGATAGACAAACTAAAATGTTCATTAGGTGAAAATGGACTGACTGACTTTCGATTGCATTATGATAGTGGCGATTCATTGTTTTGTAATATTGTTCATTTACTATTTTAATCCTTACTAATAAATTTTTTATGTATTAACTTTACATTTGCGTCAACAGAAATGGCCCTGACATAAGATGTATCTGTTTGACACATATCTTTTTGTTTTTAAATATTTTACCGTTAACAATAGTTGATCCATGTCAACAATGCAATTAATGTTAGTTGAATGTAAATAATGTTGACAAAGCTTTTTAAATTCCCTCTTAAATGAAATAGGATTCATTGTGTTGTCATCTTGTTATCGAATTATACCAAAAAGTTCGCAAAATGCTCCCAGTTTAGTATTTTAGTTTTTATACAGTTAAAATATATCAGTAGTAACTTATTGCAGGATTTTTGCATAGCATTTATAGTAGGTAATAATCCAGAATTTGTTGTATTTTGATGTGACATCCTATCCGTTTTTATTATATTTTTTAAAACTAATTTACATTTAATTTAAATATTATATTTGATAATTGGAAGCAGTGGATACATTTTTTTTTAAAGATTATCATTTCATTATTATAGTCAACAGTGTCAACCGGGGGTGGGTTGGCTCAGTGGTTAGAGTCATGACTCTGAGATCGGAAGGTCTCAGGATCGAATCCCACCGGTGGCAGAAATTTTTATTTAATTTAAAAAATTAAATATTAATTCTAATGCATAGGTAGGATTCCCCACTCGACCATTCACTGTTGGGTTCTAATTAACAGTGCTGTTCCTAAAGTGGCGCTGGGAAACAGTAACAAAGCCTACACAGAACATGAGGCTAATGGCCGTAGTAGTCGACGCCGATGACACCAAATTAAAAAAAAAAAAAAAAAAAAAAAAAAAAAAAAAAAAAAAAAAAAAAAAAGTGTCAACCATATCAAAAGGTTTTTCAAATTTGTCAAGTTTATATTCGGCTGTCGATAGGTGAGGATGTATGTTTATTAACATTACTCCGTAACTAGGTCAGTTTCGTTTGTGTATGTAGTGTAAATATTTTTTAATCGCGACTGTTTAAAAAATCAACAATAATTGCTAAACGTAATGTTTAAAAACAAAAATAAAAATAATAATGTGCCATTAAAAATAGTTTTACAATGTGTAGAAAAAATAATAAAACAGAATCGACACCTGCCAAAGTGCTTTTGGAGCAAAAAAAACAGTACCTGCTTCAGGTAACTCAAACAAATAATATGGAAACAATGGAAGTAGGAGAAAATCTCCTAGCCCAACAATATCAGGACTTATTTCATAAAAATCAAGCTAGAAGTCAGAATGAACAGGCATTGTACAATGCTTGGATACAGGAAAAAGCAAAAAGCTGAAAAACAGTAACTAGAAAGTGCATTGCAACAAATGCAAAACAATATGGAAAATATGCAAAAACAAATTAATATTCTAAACAAAGAAAAATCTAAAATTCCAACAAATTATAAAACTGATGAAGAAGAACTGGCAAAAGAAATCGGCGATCAAATTAACAAAGAAGTAGAATGGATAACAGCGGAAAACAGAAACAATAGAAGAAGAAAAAAACGAAAAGCCAACCTCTCCTGGCCAACCTGGAGGTAGCAAAAATCAACAACAAGAGAAAGAAACAGTCAAAAAAACAGTGAAATTTCCCCCGATAATAGCAAGCAACATCAATAAGTATGAAGAATTGCCCCATACACTGAAAGAAAATAATATTTCCTTTCAAGCCACAGCTCTAAGCAATAACCAGTTTAAAATTAATACTAAACAAGAAGACTTCAAAAATGTCATATCAACCTTAAATGCCAAAGAAATAAATTGGCATTCCTATGAAATTAAACAGAACAGAGACATTAAAGTAATGGTTAGAGGTCTACCATCTACAGCTAAACCAGAAGATATAGTTGAATACTTGCAAAGTTAAGGATTAAAATGTAAAGAATCTATCAATATAATAAAGAAAGAAATAGAATTAACCGATAATAACACTCGTAAACTAAATAAAAAACCATTGCCGCTATTCATGCTATTATTCGAAAATATTGAATATATTAAGAAAATCTACGAAATCATAGCAAATGGTTATCTAAGAGTAAGAATAGAAACCATGAGAAAGTCAAAACTAGTTCCGCAATGCAAAAACTGCCAGCTATTTGGACATACGCACAACTTTTGCAAAAGAGAGTCAAGATGCGTAAAGTACGTAGGAAAACATCATACGAAGGATTGTGTAAAAAGTCCAGAACAACAACCGAAGTGTATAAACTGCCAATGGAACATCCTGCTAATTACAGAGGATGTGAGGTAGCTAAAACCTTTTAGATAAGGAAGGATAACACCACTAAACCTAAAACAATGACGAGGTAGAAGAGACCCATAAACGCTTTTCCAACTGTCAGAAATGAAATAACATATTCTCAGGTAACAAACTCACAGGAGCAACCAATTCAAAGGTCACAACCAGCCATGAATCCCACGCCACAAATTGCACAGCATACTGCAGTCAACCAGCTTAGCAGAAAGTACTACTAATGAATTATTATTATCCTTAATAACCAGAATAGATTCACTCTCTGACAGGCTCCAGAAGCTAGAAGAATTAAATAAACCCCAAACATATAACAAAACCACCAATGGACAAAAGATATATTAGAATAGCCACTTGGAATCCCAATGGTATTCTCCAAAAACAAACTGATATCCAAGTTTTTTCTTGGTTGTACAAAAAATAGATATATGTCTGATTTCTGAGACCCACCTTACAACAAAGTGATACATTAAATTCAGAGGATATAACTTCTATCACACTATCCATCCATTAAATGCAGCAAGAGGAGGAAGTGCGTTAATTATTAAAAATAACATTTCCCACTATGAGGAACCAGGCATCCAAGAACCAGAAAATCAGGTAACCATTAGCACCATTAACATTAAGGGTGGCAAAATTACAATAGCTGCGATCTATTGCCCACCAAGATACAACCAGAAAAAAGAAAATTATCTCAATGTACTCAAAAAACTAGCTAACAAATTTATAATCGGTGGAGATTACAACTCCAAAAACACCAACTGGGGTTCAAGATTAACCACAGCTAAAGGAAATAATTGCACCGAGCTGCATCAGAACTTAGTTATGCATACCAATCTTCTGAAAAACCCACATATTCCAGATCATTTGGATTTCTTTATTCTGAGGAAAATTTCAACAAACTATACACAAGTAGAAGAAAACTTTGATATGGATTCAGACCATTCTGCAGTAATCCTTACTCTAAGTGATAATGTTATTCAAAAAGAAGCCAAACCAACCCTAGCAAATTGGAAAACTAATTGGGAAGGTTTTCAAGAAGACTTAACAAATACTATTCAACTGACCATAACACTGAAAATAAAAAATCAGCTAGATAACGAACTGGAAAGGTTTATAGTTGAAATCCAGCAAGCTGCATGGAGGAACATACCAAAAGTAAGCAGAATAACAGCTTGAAAAAACTAACCTGTCGAGATAAGAGAACTGGTGACAGAAAAAAGAAAACTAAGAAAGAAATGGCAGATGACAAGATAGCCAGAAGATAAAAATATATAAAACAGGGCTTACCCAAAGACTGAGAAGAGAAATCCTAAATCACAAAAAAGAATCCTTCAACAGATACCTAGTAGGGCTAATAGATGATAAAGAAACTGATTATTCACTCTGGAAGATGAAAAAAGATGAAAAATTCGTGTAAACACTGTCCTCCTATCAGAATAGCAGATAACAAATGGACAAGATATAATCAACAAAAAGCTGATATTTTCGCTGACCACCTACAAAAGACGTTTCAATTAGATGAAAATCAAGACAGTCCTAATGAAAGCATCCATAATATGGAACAATTTGAAATTAAGCTAGTTACTCCCAATGAAGTTACGAAAGAAATTCAGACAAACATCAACTCACAGAAAGCCCCAGGATATGACCTTATTACTGGAGAAATATTAAAGAAACTACCACGGAAGGCTATTGTTAAATTGACATACCT